AAATTTATTTTTATTGGTGCCGAGGGCGTCTTTAAAAGTTTTTGATGTTGGCCAGCCAAAACTAGATCTCGTAAATTGGAAACCAGAATTCATGGAGGAGGGGTGTTCTCACCACCCGCCCTCGGCACGCTACTGAACGTAGTGAAGACTCTTATATAGATCTTGGTTTTTCAATGTTGGTTTTTCAGGAAAATGGAACCTGATCTAAACTACATTTTATGATTGGATAAATTAAATGTTTTACCAATGTAAAGTATTTAATATTAACCAATCATGATCCATCTAACTAACAACCCACTTATTTGTAAGTGCTGAAGTTACTTGTAATTTCAGCACCAGAGAGATTTGAATTTAACTTAGAAATTAGTTGGACTCTCCCGAGCACTTCAGCAACCGCAATAAACCAGTATACCCTAGATCTATTGAGCCTAGCAGAGACTAGTTAAACAACCTGAGACTAGATAGTATAAGAGTAAGATTAGGATCGGTATTAGACTAAGAAGTTGCACGAATCTATCCGGCCGAAAATAAGATACCGTGACGAGCAGACGGTGTACCCTATCCGAAATTACTCTATGAGTTAACCACTTCGGTCCTAACTCATCTGGTGCGACCATAAGTCTCGAACAAGACCTTAATAGCTTAGAATTAACCAAAACAGATTAGAAATTAGACAAAAACATTTACAAAATGTTATACGACAATAATTTAATCGAAATGTCTCTACGACTCAATAGATCAGAGCCAATATTCCGAACCATAACAGAACTACCCGGAATTGGAAGAAGACCTCGAACCAGAGACGACATACGACAAAGTAGAAACTTGCCATATAGCTATATGATAGTTCGGCAAAAGCCAACACAAACTTTTGTATTTAGAATTACTGGCAATGAATTTAGATTTCCATTTGCAAACATAAAACCTTGAAGTTAATCTTCAAAATCATTTCAGGCGCTAAACAAAATTATTAATATACAATAACGATTGATAAAAAGATCTAAGATCGTTTTCCTAAAACTCTGCAGTAATATACAAAACATGTTTGAAAAATATTTATTGAAAAATAAAAATAAAAATTAGTAGCATGACAATAAATGGTTAGTAATCATAAATCATCCTGTTGTTCCAGCTCTATCATCTAAAACATAACAGCAATCATAAACCCACTAATATCATCAAAACACTAAATCTTTCCTTTACACACATTTAAAAAATTTATTAAAACTTAAATTCACTTAATTTTAAAACCAGATCATCAAGGCTTATCCTTGGATCTTAAATCATTTTCTACTTAATTAAAATTCAAATTTGATCATCAAGGCTTATCCTTGGATCAAACAGAACAACTTTGTTCTCCCCCACCCACTTAATTAGTGTCTAACGACCTCAAACGTCGATTCACTACCCAACCCTTTCTAAAGACCCAAGACTAATAGAAATTTTTAAACAAAACTAATCATTCAAATTAGGATAAACAGTGAAGAACTTCGGTTATTCATCCTTCACTTGACCCCCCCTCTTACCAGACCCAGGATAAATCTTAGACTTAGTAAGTTTAAAATAGTATCTAACGAACTACTCGCGTTCTAATTATACCTGAACCTTGTGGATCGATTTACTATTCTCCAACCCTTGAACACAATCACTACCCCTAAGTAAGATTAAGTAAGTTAACACCTTAACTTATACTAGCCACGAGAAAGTAAAAAATCATTCTTCGGAATCGATATACCTTTCTCTCCAACCCTGAACAAACAGACCCAGGTTAAGCTAACCAAAAAATCGTAAGAACTAACAGTTTAAGAAAAATAGAAACCATTTAACAACCTTTTGCATCCGTCATCCTAAACCTTATGTCATTTAAAAACCTAGGAAATAAACAAACAATCGTTTTACACAATTGTGAAATAGATAACAAAAAATACGACCTTGTAATCACACCTCATACACAAACAGTTGGATACATTCGAACAAAACGACAAACACTAAAAAGAAAAATAATAACGAAACAAAGACAAATAACACGAAAAAGATTTTCAAAAAATCGAAACGCATTTTCAGAATCAGAAACCAACAGTTTAGACGAACTTTACAAACTAAAAGAATCAATAGATAAAAATTACCCACTTCACGATCAATTATATTTTTCTGACTCAGAAACAACTTCAAATTCATCAAAAAGAGGAAAAAGAAGAATAAAAAAACAGTATAAACACAAACCAGTACATTTATACAATTGGAATCAACCAATTAGACACATTGATAATTACATATTAACAGTCATCGAACGAAAAAATGAGCTCAACGCACACTCCAGGTGAAGAAAGTCC